CCTGCTTTGGTTTGGCCAAACGGGAATGCAATATCAATGCTGGAATTTCTTCTCTAATACTCAACTTTGGACTGAGATTCGTGCGCCCACAGAGAATGTGATGTCATTGCTCTTTTCTTGTGCTTCGTTGTCAAAATGCTCAAAAAATACGTGTTTATATAACATTTTGCTCCATCTCATCTCTAAGGACTCCTAAGAACCAAAAACATCAAAGCACATAACATAAGTGAACAATCTATTCCCAAATGCTATACAAATACCCATAAATAACATGAAACTTCAAGACCTATCTGGCTTGAACTATGTTTACAGTTAGTTTTAAGTTACACATATCCTTAAAAAGTTACATCCAATTAGAGTTTTTTTTTTTTGTTTTCTTTTTCTCTCTTAAAGACAAACGAAAAAAGAACTCTAATTGGATTTTCTTCAAATGCTAGCATTCAAAATGGTTAAGTGGTTATGGTTGTCGTGGCTCATTTATTTGACGTCTCTGTTATTCTTTTGTATGTAGTTCTAAAGTTGTTCATTTTTTCATGATTCCAACTAGTGATTTGTTGGATATGAATTGAAGAGTCCGGATTGAACCCTAGTCCTATTGGGCTAGGGTTAGATCACTTAAAGTCTAAGTCACTGCCTAAACCTATTCTTACTAGGTTACAGGCAACAGGTAACACCACCTCTATATAAAGAGGTGGTGTCTCTCTCATAATTCATATCTTCTACCCATCTTCTAGCTCTCTTTTACACACGCACACAACCTCTCACTATTCTCTCAGAGAGTCTACCCTCGGGAGACTCCCGAAGCTCTGTCTTGTCGGTTTTAGGCCGACCACCACCACCTAGATCATCGTCCCCGCCAGTCCTAAAGGCAGAATACAAATCCAGGTTTCGACAAGTGGCACACCTGATTGGACCAATTTCTTTGGTCCTTACAACCAAATAAATTTCTTAAAACGAAGTTGAGATTTATTGGTGCCACATGGCGATCACGATTTGAGTTTGAAACTTGCTTGCCCTATTGCGAAAAAGAAACATGGTTGCCATTGAAAAGCAAAGGCTAGCTGAGAACGACAATGACAATTCAACCGAGAAGTCGCAGCAGCAAGCAAGCAGCTCACGATGGCCAAAAGCAGCCAACTGTTCGAGAATAATTCTAATAGTCCCTGGAGTTCAAAATCCATTGAAGGGGCAGAAAAATCAGCTGAGCACATTTTCTCAATTCAAGGGTTTAAAATTTTGCGATAAGCTCTCAAGTCTTTTGAAGCAAGGGGCACACTTGAAGATTGAAGTTTCGAGAGATACATCTTCTGGAAGGGGTACGCATCCCTCGAGCACCATTCTCCTACTTGAAGTGATCGAGTAGATGTATCTCGACTTTCATCTACTCAAATACTACATTCTCGAAATCAAGGTAACACCTCTCGAATGAACAATTTATCTCAAGAACGAGGTACTTCCTAAACCTTGTCATTATTATATGCGTCTCGAACATAATTTCATATATCACTGACATCATAATTCTTGTTATAGGCATATTACTTTTATCATATGACTATCTTTTTAATACATACATCATACTATATTGCATATCGAGCATCCAAACATATAGGGGCCACCCTTCAAATCAGACACTTGCGACCACCCCGTATCAGAAAGGAAACGAAAGACCCGCTGGACGGGCACCTGGTTTAAATAAGACCAGCTTGACGGGCACGACCCACAAAGACCTGCTAGACGGGCAACGGCCAAATAAGACCTACTACATGGACACAGCCACAAGACCTGCACAGGCAAATATAGGTTTCTCACCTTCAAATAATAGAGTATAGGCTTCTCACCTTCAAATAATAGAATATAGGCGCCATCCTACAAATTCGGCATACACACAGGCTTCACCCTCGTAATAAGGAACTCACTAATACAAAGAACTCCTCGAGGCACTTTATTCTCTGAATCTTATACAGGTGACACCCGAGAACGAAAGAGTTCGAGAACTGGGGCGACACCATGAACCTTGAAAAGACATCAGCACTCGTAGTAACCCATAGTCTTCTCATCGAGTCTCGAGAATATGACTTGCTAGGGGCACTTGACGAGTCGGGATTGAACCCTAGTCCTATTGGGCCTAGGGTTAGATTACTTAAAGGCTAAGTCACCCCATAAACCTATTCTGACTAGGTTTCAGGAAACAAGTCACACCACCTCTATATAAAGAGGTGGTGCCTCTCTCATAATTCATATCTTCTACCCATCTGCTGTCTCTCTTTTACACACGCACACAACCTCTCTCTATTCTCTCTATTCTATAATTGACTTAACCATCATAGGGTCTACCCTCGGGAGACACCCGAGGCTCTATCTTGCAAGTTTTAGGGCATCTACCATTGCCTAAATCATCGTAGCCGCTAGTCCTAAAGACACCATACAAATCCAGGCTTCGTCATGAATTAAGGAGGCACAACTCATACTCTTTCTGCCTTGGCAACCAATTCACTTTAAGTAACTAACCAACTATTTTATCCATTATGCTTTGTTATTGCTTGGAGTTTATCTTGAAGAAAACATTAACTCTTTTGTTTTTTTTTTTGTTGCAGTTTCTATGGAGATTATACGCGGTAATGGATTATATAACACATATGGGAAGGCCTAAACAACTTATTAAAAAAAGAAAAGAACAGTAGAGCCCAATGTTTAAATCATTCATAGTGAAATAACTCTTAGAGTAGAAGGGTATAGCAAGGAATTTCACTTCTGTTGAACACACTGTATATCATTTTCTTTTTCCATAATGTTGATGTATGGCTACAAAATGCTATTTATTCTAGGAAATAATGTAAACATGTAAGGTTTGGATGTAACTTTTTACAATTTGCTTTCAATATATGAGTTTTCCCAGTTGAGCAAGTTTCTACGGATTTTGACTTTTGAGCAACATTGTGGGTGAAAGGTTTCATTTCGGGGAGTCGAAAGCATAGATTATCAAATTAAGACAAAGGCGGCCGCCCGGGCATTCGCCCGGGCCAAACATCTAGTTGGAATGGAAAGAGTAAATTATTACTAGCTTTGAACAGTTATTTTTCCCGAGATAGGGGACATAATTTATCCCTAGTAATTATTGACTTATTTTTCCATTGATTTTCCCATATACCACAATACCACATTAAACTCTCTAAACACGGACCATGTCAGTTTTATTATCCTTTGAGTAGAACCATGCTTGAGACTTGGAAAGTTCACCTTTGGAGTAAATTGTACTCCTCCATCCCACAAAAATATTCCATATTCAGTTTTGAGTTTTGTACTGTTTTTAGTACAAATTTAAAAAATCAACGTGGACTATTTTTTTGGGACGGAGGTAGTACATGATTAACTTTTTCGCTATGGAAGCCGTCAAAATTAAATTGGACCTTTGGCACGATTGCCTGGCCTACACAATTTTTGAAAATTACCCGAAAATATATCTTATTGTTCATCATCAATTTTCAATTGTTGACTTTGTTAACTCTTACTTGTAAGTTTGTTCTGCTTACATAATCCGAAACTAATTTATACATCTGAAGAACCACGAGAAAGCAGTAAAATATCAAAAAGTCATAGGTATGGTGCCATCAATATAACTAATTAAGAAATTACATTGACTTGGTTCTCTCCCTCTCCCTCTCTCCTTCCCTCTCCTTTTTTTCCGTCTTTTAGGGGAATAAATTAATTAAGAATCAATCCCACGAAAAGGAATCATGAACCAAGAAACTACCAACAACTCATAATTTCGATTAATCCTCAAATGAAATTGTAACTGCTTAAATATCTAAGTCCATCGTACCCAATAAATTCATAGCAACCAATAAAAAGGATAAACTAAAAATTTGGAAAAAATTCCCTCCCGAAAGAATAGATGAGCAATATTTTCCGATGGATAAAAGGGCTAATGAAAGTGTTTTCAAGATCCGAACAATGTGAAAAATTTTCAAAGACTATTTATTCCTTTTAATCAAAGTTAAGAAATCAACGTGTTATCATCTAGCTAGTTTGACAAACATTTTAATCAAGTTACCAATTTCACGATAATGCTACCAAAAAATATGAGAGTTTAGGTAGCATCTATAAGTTAAAGTAGCTTGCTTGTTGCTGCTAATTACGTACTTAGCTAATCACATATTAATTTATATACCATGCGTACCATTAAGCATTAATATACAATGACCAGTCATACAAATGGTGCCATCAAATACATCATTTTGAAGCAACGAGTTGACTTTGTTCATGTAGACCATCTAGTTGGCACAAGAGTGACGTGTCCGCTAGATCTGTATCGTTAGATATAATTTTAAGTTTTTAACAAACTCTTAATGGGCTGCCATGTTTTTGAACACCTTATGATTTTTAGCAGGCATCTCAAAATTTATCTGTCAACTAATGGTACTTTGTTGTGTACTACTAAACGCAACACATTTAATTACATTAATTATAAAGTTATCTTTGGATTGGCTGAAAAAATCTTAAGTTAATTAAGAATCCTCATGAATGAGCTAGGCAGATCTAATTTTAACGGACTACCAAAGTAACAATAAATAGGACGTCGTCTCAGTTTGTCGAGGTTACATTAATAAATCTTCTAGAAAACTATCTTATATGTTACAATGGGAGTATATACACAATTGCCGGAGGAATGCTCTGATCGGTGTCGATTAATCTCGTAGTATTGCGCGAGGAGGAGTTGAATCCTAGTAACATTTACACATCTATATTACTAGGCAAATGAAATCGATGTGATTACTAATTTTAGGACCCAATCAACGATGTTGCAATCGACTAGTAATGAAAACATTTTAAATGCATCCCAAATTGTCAACTAGGCTAGTTCAGAAAAAGATTGAATATATATTATATATCAAGCAAGCTTTAGCTTTAGCCTATATAAAGACATGCCAAATTAGGTGAATATCACCTTACACACACATGCACACATACACACTATATATATCAAACTAAAGTTCGAAAAAATGGCTTCCTTTGGGATCAACAAGAAGGCATCGAACATCATTGTTGTGTCGTCAATGGTACTGTTATTGGCAATGCTGATTTTCCAATCTGCTATAATGCCTGTAGAAGCACAAAGCTGCTGCGATATCTGCTTCAGAAAATACTATACCTGTGCGACTGGCTGCTCTACTGCGGGCTTATGCGCAGATACTCTTGTTTGCCTTCAAGGTTGCAATGCAAACGGAGCAACGTGCGTCGGCGCCTGTGGTTTCTGCCCCTGAGACCACTCTTGCCGCAACCTTATCAGCTTCGATCTTTGATCCTGGAAAATGGATCCAGCTCTACCACAAATATGGAGATTCGTTTGTTTGTAATTTCGCAACTTGTTTCCCAAGTCATCGATAAAGTTTCTTATCCCCTTCGTCCAACTTTAATAGGACAGTTTGTTGAACTTATTAAACAGTACACTGAGCTGACTATTGAAAGCGGACGGAAGGGGAAAGTATGATACATATGCATGTGATTGCCTATCTTGCATGAATTTGGTTTAGTTCCCGCTAAACTAAATGCGTCCATCCATCCCTTGTAATACATTTCTCGTTAATTTGGTTTTATATACAAATCTCCTTTATATATGTTAATCTTTATCTATCGATCTTGTCTCTTCATGTTCTACTCCGCGAATATTATGTCGAAGATGTATGTACTTAATCATGATCACTAGTCATTGGTGAGTGTTAAAAGCTCAAAGAATAATTTGTCTACACGTAAATGAGGCGGTCGTGGCTCCGTACTGAAGTAAGTGTGCAAGGCGCATGAATATCGCACGAATGAATCGCAGTCGTTCTTTCATTAAGCCACTTGTTTTTTCCTTTTTTCTTCTTCTTTTTTATGAAGTGTATAAATCTAACCCTTAATAATCACTTATTACGATACTAGTAGCTAAAATATACTGTATACAGACACATATTGGAACGAGTAAGCTGGTTGTTGAAGTTGATAGTGTAAGTGTTAAATGTGAAAATAATACTACTACCAATTTGAAAAAATTCAACAGGGAATGCGAATCAAAGTGATGCGTGGATTGTTCACGAGAGAATGGTCTGTTGTTGAAGTATCCTTCAAAATAATCAAGATTTCCATATTCAGTTCGGCAAAAATCCAATACTCTTGCAAAAGAATCGGAAAACATTGTTCAGAATTGTTCAAGATAGAAAATTAGGGTTGAGAGAATTAAACTTTAGAATTACCGAATTGGAAAAATTGATGAATTAGTCCCAACTTATGTATTTTGGATACAATGTCATCCCCAGCTATTTTAATTAGTCAATTTAGTCCCGGCCTATTTTTATTTAGTCAATTTACTTAATTTAAGAGGATTTATCGATTGTATAACGGAGGTTTTAGTATTTTCCGTTAACAGTTTATGTTTCTAATAATCTCCGAAATGTTTTAATCCCACGGCAGCCACAGTCGCCATCACCACTCCGCCTTACCCACCTCCTTTTTTTGCCCTCTGCCACCAACTTCTGTTTCTCAAAATTTGGAACATATTCATTCACTGAGATTACTCTTCTCCCTATTATTTGATCTCTTTTATGCCATTCGGGTATCATTTTAAAGATTACCACGAAAAGAGCTCTTGAACAAGTAATCAAAATAAAAATTCCAGATTTTCAATCACAAATCCAAATGTTGAAACGAAGGTTAATTGGGTTTACATAAGCTGTTCGTGGCTGCATAAAACATGAAATGTTTTACTTACATTTGATTAAACTTCCAAATAGATACCATTAAGAATGCCTAAAATTTCAAGAACAAGTTCATCCCTTAAAGTTAGTAAATTACCGATACCCGAATTTCTGGAATTGTGGGAAGAAGTGATTTAATAAAAATTGATCAGTGGTTGAATTCCGTGAGAGCAACATACTGCGGTTGTTTTCAAGTTGAAAGCACTTCAATGTCATTATCTTCTAATTCCAAATTTCTAGGTAGATGGTGGCAAGTGAAGAAGACGGTGGAGCTATGGTGGAGATGGTGCTAAGTGGTGACTAAATGAAGCATTAACGGGAAACCTAAATAATCCGTTAAGAATTTAACAAATCGGGTTAAATGGTCTAAATTGACTAATCGTAATATAGGTTGGGACTAAATTGATGAATTGGAATAGCTGGGATGACATTGTATCAAGAGTATATACCTTGGAACTAATTCATCGGTTCTTTCCTAATGAATTCTAATCATTCATCATAAATGAATTACAAAGCAAGATCTCCAAATTATACAGCACTAATAACCTGTAATGAACTAAATCTTTTAAGCTGCCTTTCTGTACAACATTTACAACTAAGCCCTTGCTCTATTCTGTAATTACAATTGGGTATAATCTATGTTATATACAAAATATACAAATTCATCTACACCCCCTCAAGCTGGACAGGAAGGGGATCCTTCTGTCCAAGCTTGATCAATAATGTCTGAAACCATGGATGCGGAAGCAACTTTGTGAACACATTAGCGAGTTAATCTTTGGACGGAATGTATAGAAGAACCACCAAACCAGCTTGGTAATGATACTGGACAAAATAGCAATCAATTTCGAGATGCTTCATTCGCTCATAGAAAATGGGATTCTCGGTAATATAGATGGCAGAAGCTTTATCACACCAGAGAGGAACAAGTCCTTGAAAATGAATACCAAAATCTTGCAGCAAGTATGAAATCCAAAGAAGGTCACTGCAAGTAGTACTTAAACTACGGTATTCAGCTTTTGCTGCAGAACATGAAACTGTGTCCTGCTGTTTGGCTTTCCAGAAGATCAAACAGGATCCCAAGAAAACACAAAAAATATTTATGGATTTATGTTCAGTGGGATTAGATCCCCAATCCGCGTCTCTAAAGGCCTCTAGTGTAAAGGTATTAGAACAAGAGAAGAAAACTCCAAGAGAAGGTGTACCTTTTAAGTATTTCAGGACATGTGTTAATGCCTCCAAATGATATGCAAATGGATTTTGGATGTGTTTGCTAAGCTATGGACAACAAAAGCAAGATCAAGCCGAGTGAAATTAAGGTACAATAACTGTCCCACAAGCAACCTATACCTAAAAATGAACAACCTAATGGCTATGATGAATAATCTGAAAGTTATGCAGACTAAGGTGAAAATGATGATCATGAATTGAAATGCGTCAACCAGTTCAAGAGCACAAGTCAATTTTGCTCATTACCAGGAGTTTGAAGGATTTTGCAGGACAAACACAACTAGTGCACACACACTCTTCCACAGGATCAACAATATTCAATTCATCCCAAATCTTCTTCAACTTAGAGTAATAAGCACTTAATGCCAAATTACCTTAAGTAATGGTAGCCACCTCTTTGTGAAGCCTGTAAACCCGTGGACCATGGTGTGTTCCATGTGGTTCCTTTAATTCCTCCCAGAGATCAACTACATTATTAGCCAAATTGTAATTATCAACCAGATCTAGAGAAATTGCATTCAGAATCCACGAGACAACGGTGTCGTTAACATGATTCCATTGTTCAAAGTTTGGATGATCTTCTTTCGGTTTAGCCACAGCTCCGGTAATGAATCCGATCTTATTCTTTGTTCCTAAAAATCGTCGCACCGGATGGCTCCATGGAATATAATTCTCTTCTGTCAAATACGATCACCATTGAATAATTATTAGAAGGATGAAGTATGACCGGATTTGTATACTCGCCGTAACTAACTAAATCAATATCACAAGTTTGATTAGTAACCATGATTACGAGAAGTTGAAAAAGAAACAGACGAAGAAGAAAGAAGAAGTTTTTTTTTTTTTTTGTAATCTAGGGTTTCAGTATCGTACATCAGAAAAGAAGAAATTCCGGCATTATGTAGCAAATTCAGTCACAGAGCAGGATCAGGTCCCGCTCTGAACCATCTTGCAAAAGAATCATAAAACATTGTTCAGAATTTGATCAAAACTGAAACTGAGGGTTGAGAGAATTAAACTTCATAATTGATGAATTATAATCATTCGTCATAAATGAACTACATACCAAGATCTCCTATTTATACATCATCAATATATGTTATGAACTAAATCTATTAAGCTACCTTTCTATACAACATTTATAACTAAGCCCCTGCTCTATTCTGTAATTACAATTAAGGACAATCTATGTTATTTACAAAATATACAAATTAATCTACAAATACCACATTATTTTTGTGTAATATTCGGTGGAACATGGTCATCCAGCGAGATTAATTTGATGTTCAGCTCCAATCTTGTTTCAACCTTTTTTTTTTTGGTATAAGACAAGAGCCTAAATTTCCAAACTACTATATGTGGGTTGAAATTCTATATGAAATTGTACTTTTAGCGACACGAGTTAAAGCAAAAGTGCAAATTGTTCCAAATAAAAAATCCTAAAGTTCGACTCTTCCCGCGCACATCATAGTTCATGGATAGTTTTTCTTCTCCTCTCTTTCGAGTGGTTTGCTACAAAATCGGGCCGTTTCTGCATAGGGACGAGGGACGGAACGGTCTAGAGACTTGTGGAATGTTGCGGTCAAGTCTTGAAGACTCTAGAATTCTCTAGGGAGACCCGGGCCTTGCTAGAAATGTGTAGAACCGTGTGGAAACTTCCCAAGTTTGCTAAAATAGTTTGGAGGATTCAACACACTTATAGATATTTATGGACTTCGAATATTTTATAGTAGGAATACTCTAGAATTCCTATATTTTAAACCTTGAATAGAATTCTCTAGAATTCTTAAGAATTGGGGACTTAGCCTATAAATACCCCATACCCCCTCATTTGTAACCATCTAAGCTTTGAGTAATAATTCTCAAGCATTCCTTAAGCTTTTGTGCCTATATCGTTCTTTCATTTCCAAGCTTTCTTAAGATTTCATTTGCCTACGTTCTTAAGTTCACTTGCATAGGGTCAAAGCTGTGCTAGCACGTTCATCGTTCTACGCTTCCGTTTGTTGCTATTTTCATGCATAAGCTACGTCCAACCCTTCAGAGGTCGTTCAAGGGTCGGAGCTTGAGGGGGATCACGTTTCCCGCGAGGTGGAGAGGGCCCCTCGCAAGGGAAGCCGCAAAGAGAAGTCGGTCGTTAGGGAGCCGGTGGTGGAACTCGAGAAAAAACTTGCGAAAGGCGAGCTTGCTGTAGCTGACCATCAAGAACGTTGGGATGAGCACCCCAACATGGTGGTGGGGCCGTCGATGCTCGCATGGAGCGATTCACGGGTGAATTGCAAGAGGTCATGTAGCAAATGAAGGATGACATTCTAGAGACGCTCAACGAGGTGGTGGATCATTGCAACAAGACGAAGGACGACAGGCTTGCTCGTGTTGCCACCCTCCAAGACAATGCTAGCCGACTCATGGGTGAGTTGGAGGCTT